CTTACATGCAGAAAACAAATTGATGCAACATGTTATCCACCCATCAAAATGACTGCAGTGCCCCCCATCCTACCCCCTATCCCCAGCTCAGGGACAACTGTGGAACAAGTGAGTGTGTGAGATTATAAGATCCTGATTAGAGCCTTGGAGTGTGGAGACAAAAGTGACTCCATCTTGGATGTCAATCTGCTATGTTCTCTCCTGCTTAAACCCAGCCCCAGGAATACCTCCTGATTCTTTATTTACTGTCTTTGTTTTTTCTCTTTTTTTTGAGACAGGGCCTCACTCCCGTCACCCAGGCTGTAGTGCAGTGGCATGATCACAGACCACTGCAGCCTCTGCCTTCCTGGATTCAGGTGATCCTCCTGCCTCAGCCTCCCTAGTAGCTGGGATGACAGGTGCACCGGTCACCACATCTGGCTAATTTTTGTATTTAGTAGAGACAGGGTTTCACCATATTGCCCAGGCTTGTCTCAAACTCCTGTCAAAAGCAATCTGCTTGCCTTGGCCTCCTAAAAGCTGGGATTACAGGTGTGAGCCACCGCCCCTGGCTTATTTACTGTCTTTGGTATAAGAATATATACTTACTCTAAATCTTGACTTTAGAGCAAAGCAACCTTGATGTTATCATACAAATTACAGGCTATGACACATACAACATTTTTCTTCCAAATTACAGGCTGTGACACATACAGCATTTTTCCTTGTTCTGGAAGGTTGCCTTTAATTGTCCCTAGAAAGCTTGCACCCTCTTTCCCCATTGTGTATGAGCACTGGGCCTGGGAAGTTATGGTTCAGAGATCTGCCTGTCTTGCTGTCACCAAGACCACACTTCTGTGTGTAAGTTCTCTATTAAATTACCCTTTACCGACAAACTGGATTTGTTTGCTTCGTTCTTTTGCTTCTCAACTCCTCCTTCATTTGCCAGTTGCTTTGCATATACGGCCCTTTTATGAAATAGATACAGTAGTTTGAAAGTAAAAAATTGGGAAAAGATATGTCACACAAACAACAACCATAATAACACTAAAGTATCTGTTCTAATGACAGACATGCTAGATGTTAAAGCAAAAAATGTTACTAGAGGAAAGGAGGAGCATTTTGTAATGACAAAGTGGTTAGCCTTTCAGAAAGATGTAATAGTTGTAGACACCCGTACAAATAATAACAGTGTCCCAAAATGCATGAAGCAAAATCTGGAAGAAGTGAAGGGAGAAACAGTAGTAGTTGGAGCCTTCAGCGCAGCAATGAATAGAAAACTTAGAAGATCGAGAAGAAATTAGAACACTTTAAAAATATTCTAAATTCACTAGACCATATAAACATCTATAGAATGAGTTCTCCACCTAATGTCAGCAAAATACACATTCTTCTTGAGTACACAAGATATATTCTCTAGGAAAAACCATGTGGTAGGAATGAACAATTTAAAATGATATCAAGAAAACATTTTCATTACAATAATATCAGAATAAATAACACTTTAAGAAAATTTTTGAAAAGAAGTGCAAATCTTGTACACTAGAAACTATAAAGCATTATTGAATGAAAGTAGAGAAGACCTAAAACAAATAGTGTTCATGAATAAGAGATTTGTCTCAATCCCCATCACAGTTCCGGCTGCCTCTTGCAGAAATTGTCAGGTTGATCCTAATATTCGTATGGAATTTCAGAACAGCCAAAACAATATTGGTCAAGAATAGACAAGCATTTTTGATAAGGAACACAAGTTCTTATGGTTACTGTTTCAGATTTTAGAACTTATTACAAAGCTAAAGTAATAAAAGATTATGTAGAATTGTCATATTGAAAAACAACATTATTAATGGCATAGAATGCAGACTCTAGAAATAAACTTTTACCCTTATAGTTAGTTGTTTGTTGCCAAGTGTATCATGGAAATTCAAGAGAGAAGAATACTCTTCAGCAAATAGTGCTGGAACAACTTGATAGGTATATGCTAAGGAATCCATCTGCTTCTATTTCTTACGCTGTATATAGCGATTGATCCAAATAGAATACAAATTTATATTTAAGAGATAAAACTATCAAATACTTGGAAGAAAACATTCAGTAACTCCGTAAATTTAAGCCAGAACTCCTATAGATACCGCATGATTGGATCTTGATTTTGCTACTGTGGTGGTTGTTTTAACGAGACAACGTGTTTTTTTATTGGATTGTTTCACCGAATCACATTTAATGATATTATTGATATGGATGGTATTGTGGTCTGAATTGGGCCTTCACAAAATTAATTTGTTAAACTTCTTAGACTCAGAACTTTAGAATTTGACTGTATCTGTTGATGTAATCTTCAAGGAGGTAACTAAGTATGCCTGGATATTTTAACTATTTATTGGTTGATTATGTATTCAAGGAGGGCCACGTAGCAACTGTTGCTGGATTCCAAGTCTCTAGGTCATTCCACTATGCATTCAGCACTCTAGATCTGCAAATTTCCCTTAAATTGCCATTTCCATCATGGCTTCAGTTTGTATATAGAGCAAAGACGAGACATCCTCAGACCATAGCTATGTAAAAATCTCATGAATATCTAATATTGCAGCCATCTGTAGACCATTAACAATCACGTGTAACTTGAGCTGGGTTTACGTGAATATAAGTATACTTCATTTTATTGTGCTTGATAGATACTGCGTTGTTTTTTTTTTCAATGGAAAGTTTGTGGCAACTCTATATTGAACAAGTCTATAAGCATAGACTTGAATATAAGCATAGTTCATTTTATTGAGCTTCATAGATACTGCATTGCTTTTTTTTTCCAATGGAAAGTTTGTGGCAACTCTACATTGAACAAGTCTATCAGTGCTGTTTTCCAATATCATGTGTTCACTTCAAGTCTTTGGGTCACACTTTGGTAATTTTGCTATATTTAAAACTTTATTATTATTATATCTGTTGTGGTGATATGTGATCAGTGATCTTTGATGTTACTTTTATCATTATTTTGGGCCTCGATGAAACATAGAAAAGTGTATACTTAATCAATAAAAGTGTTTGTTCTGACTACTCACTGGCCACTTCCCCAGCTATCTCCCTTTTCTCAGGCCTCCCTATTCCCAGAGACACAATAATATTGATATTAGGCCAATTAATAACCTTTTCATGGCCTTTAATTCTTCAAGTGAAAGGAAGAACTGCATGTCTTTTGAGTTAAATTAAGAACTAGAAATGATTAAGCTTAGTGAGGAATGCATGTCCAAAGCTAAGATGGGCTAAAATTGAGGCCTTTTGTGCCAAAAAGCCAAATTGTGAATAAAAAGAAAAAGTTCTTGAAGATCGTTAAAAGTGTTGCTCCAGTGAACACAACACAAATGATTTAAAAAGCATATTCTTATTGCTGACTTTGAGAAAGTCAGCAACATTCTATGAAGGCTGAGAGAGTTGAGGAAACTGCCTAAGAAAAGTCTGAAGCTAGTAGAGGTTGATTTATGAGGTTTCAGGAAAGAAGCTGTCTGCATAACATAAAAGTTCAAGGTAAGGCAGCAAGTGTTGATGAAGAAGCTGTAACAAGTTATCTGGAAGATCTAGCTCGGATAATAAAGGTAATGACACTAAAACCTGGATGACAGCATCTGTTTATAGCATTGTTTGTTGCATATTTTAATCCTATTTGTTGAGACCTGCATATCAGAAAAAAATTTTCAAAAATATTATTGCTCATCGATGATGCACCTTGTCACCTAGGCATACAGATATATGCAAGATTTATGACTTTTTTCATGCCTGCTTCTAACACAAAATCTGTTTTGTAGCCTAGGGATCAAAAAGTAATTTCACCTTTTAATTCTTGTTATTTAACAAATACATTTCACAAAACTATAGCTGCCATACATAGTGATTCCTCTGATGGATCAGGGCAAAGTAAATTGAAACCCATCTGGAAAGAATACATCATTCTAGATGCCATTAAGAACATGTTTTTGATTTAAGGGGGAGCAAACTATATCATTATTCACAGGAGTTTGGAAGAAGTTGATTCCAACCTTCAAGGATAACTTTGAAAAGATCAAGACTTTGGTGGATAAACTAACTGTTAATGTAATAGAAATAACAAGAGAACTCAAATTAGAAATGCAGCGTGAAGAGGTTACTGAATTGCTGCAATCTTATGATGAAAGTTGAAAGGATGAGAAGTTGCTTCTTATGGATGAGCAAAGAAAGTGATGTCCTGATGTGGAATCTACTCTTGCCAAAGGTGCTGTGAACCTTTTTAAAATGACAACGTAGTGTTTAGAACAACACGTAAACTTAGCTGATAAATAAGTAGCAGGGTTTGGAAAGGGTGACTACAATTTTAGAAGTTCTACTGTGGGAAAAATGCTAGAAAACAATATTATATGCTATATAGAAATCACTCATGAAAGGAAGAATCAAATCAATGTGGCCAACTTCATTGTAGTCATATTTAAAAAAACTGCCACAGCCACCCTAACGTTCAGCAACCACTGCCCTGATCAGACAGTAGCCATCAACATTGAGGCAAGACCATTTACCAGCAAAAGAATACTACTTGCTGAAGGCTCAGATGATTGTTAGCTTTTTTTTTTAGCAATAAAGTACTATTTTATTAAACGACATATATTTATTTTGTAGACATAATGTTATTGCTCACATAGTAGACTACAGTAGAGTATGAATAAAACATTTATGTGCATTGGGAAGCAAAATACAAAAAAAACCCCAAAACCTGTGTAACTTGCTTTTCTGTGATATTAGCCTTATTTAAGAGGACTGGAACTGAATGCAAAATATCTTTGAGATATGCCAGCATGTGGGTTTTTGGTAACTCTCCCTCTTGTCAACCTTGTCATAAGCAAGGCCACATATGTTCTTAAATACTGAATTCTAATATGCATGACATGTGGATAGAGTTTTTAAAAGTGGATAGGCTAGAGCAAGCTTTGTTGTAATCACTCCCATCTCAACTACCCAGGCATCAGCTGTGGAAATAGCAGACACAGTAAGATAGCACTATGGTGAAAATGTGTTTATTTTCATTATCTAGGGTTCCAAAGACTGGGGTGAGTAAAATACTAACATTAACAAAGCAAATTCAACAGAGAAAAGTGTGTCCGTGTTGAGTTGGAGAGATGGTCTGCTTTAATTTTTGACTCTGTAGTAATTGCTGGATCAGTTCTAGACATTTTCCAGCTGCCTCTAGTTTTTGAACTTGCAGACAAAGGAGAACTTTTCTTCACAAGGCACATCCTTCCATCTCTTGAATCCTATAAGTCAATGAGAAGAGTTAGAGATGGGAGACCAGAAAGAGTGAGACCCTCCTGGCTTTAGGACTCAGGACAAAAAACAAACATCCATTTCCTGGATGAGGAGCTACCTTTCCTCTATCCCAGTCCCAGTCCCATCCTTAGAGCTAAGCTGGAGAGAACAGAAACAGGTGGATGGATCCTCTGACTCTTACCTGAGCTTGAGGACAGGCTTACACAGTAGCCAGGATTAGTGCTGCTTGGGGCTCCAATGTCCCAGGATTTGTAGGAGACCAGGGACCCACTGCTCCAGTGCCAGCGGCGGTTCTAGATGGGGAAGATCCAGAACAGAGGCAGTGGTCACTCAAAAATCAATAGAATCACTGGGCCTGTGTGTATACTCAGAAACATGCCAAGACACATGAGAAAAATAAGCATTGTTATCTTGCTGAATATTGTTTCCTTTCCTTTGTTTTTGCTCTAAACTTCTTGTTTCCTGGACTGTCCAACTCACTACCCCTGTTTCACCAAGAAATAAATGTTTCTAATTTGACATAGAGATCCAGAGTAGCTCACTTGAAAAGTGGTTCATGATTTGTTGTCTTTGAGGCCCAAGACCCTCATATCCAGCATAGCATTGGATGCCCATTAGTTGTTGTTATATTATTTAGTATACTACCAGGTTTCCAAATGCCAGCAGTAGATTCTTTACCATGAGTGTTCTTTTCTATATAGTCAGCAATCTAGTCCCTCTTATGACGCTGACAATAACAAAATAGGTAAGAAGTTGGTGCATATAGATGCTTTGTTGACTGTAGACAGAATGAGTTTATTCATGAATGCCCAGGACACCTAGGAAATTCAGCCTTCCACCTGTAGCAAGTACACCTTGCTACGCAGAACACTACAGGATCTGTAAGCAGACTGATTTCTGAAAAGTGATAAAAGCTGGTACTTAAGAGACCAGAGTTTGAACCTCATTCTTACTTCTCAAATCTTATCATTAGGAGATAAAGAAGGCTGCAGCCTACCTTTTTGGGGTCATGGAGGCCAATCCAGACATTGAAGTCATCAGTGCCACTCTCCTTAATCAGTGAGGCCACAAAGGTGCCCTCAGACTGGGTGAGCACAGACACTAGGTTGCCTGAATTCATGTTCTGACAGTAGAGCTGTTGGGGAAAAAAATGGAGCACTCAGTGGAGGAGGAAGGTGTGAGGATATACTGAGTCCTTTAAGAGGATAAGTCAGAAAAAGGACACACAGTAACGTCCCCGATGATTCTGTCATCGACCACCAGCGTCTTTGTGCTGGAATGTGCTGAATAATGGGATAAAGTAGATTGGAAAGTTTGGGGCTGATGATCGGGTAGTAAGGGGTTCAGTCTTATCTCATTGCAGCCACTGAATACACTGGAGAGAGGCAGCTTCCCCTCCCTTCATGAGCCTCCCTTCCCACACTGCTCTCCTCACTCACATCTGCATCAGTCCAGGTCTCACGGTCTTCATTAAAGTAGTAGCAGTAGGAGCGATAGGCATTGGTGCCTTCTGGGCAGCTGATCCGGGCCTGGGGCAACCCTGTGTGGGTCTCTTGGCCTAAAAAAGAAGAGACAATTAAAAGAGGTTCTCAGGGTAAGGTAAAGGCTGGAAGATGAGGCAGAAGCTTCTGAGGTTTCTTTATAGGAACAGAATATAGTCTATTATGGGGTGACTGCTCACTTTTGCTCCTGCATCCTTTATCTTCTCTCTTTGGTTTCTTTGATCAGGGCAAAAACACAGAATGGATAGGCTAAAGAAACATGTCTCCAGTTTCCCTTTTATGTCTGGGACTCAGGCTCTTCTGCCTTGAAGGACTTAGGCTTCTACTTTTCTCAAGCCTGTGTTGGTTTCCCTGAACAAAAGGCTCTCCTCAGTTCTCCACCTCGTTAGTGACTCTCTACACACAGGCATCCCCAAATGCACCATCAAGTACAAAGTTAATCAGATAAGCTCATGCCAACTGTGGCAGTGGCTTATAAGGGGTTATTTTAAATTCTAGCTCAAACTCCTTAATGAGATGTGGATGTATATAAATGTGATGAGATCAGCAATAAAGATCACTAAGCACCACAAAACAATCCTTAATGGTGATTCTGCGCTCTCTCTCCCTCTCTCTCTCTCTCTCTCTCTCTCTCTCTCTCTCTCTCTCTCTCTTTTACATGTAGACCTATATGCCTGGCGATAGAGTGAAGGCTTCAGGACTAGACAGGGTTGGTTGGTAGAAAAGAGATCTTACCTTGGCTCAGAGACAGGAACATCAGGCAGGAGATCAGCATGAAGTATGAACTGGTCTGAGCCATGCTGAGCTTCAATGAATCTCTTGCTTAAGAGGCAAATCAACAATCTCTATAGGAGAACACAGAGAAGGAGGTTCTGAGAGGTGGAGAGCAAAACATCTATTACCTTTCTTAAAACCTCCTCTCAGAATTTCTGAGACCAGGAAGGTCCTCTGAGACATCAATAGCTTCAAATGTTTCTCTTGAGAGTTTTGGGATTATACAGACTCAGTAACTAAAAAAAGCCCTGGATCCCACTGAGGCTTCACTACTGCTAAAATCTCCTGGACAGAAACTCATGCTGTATCTTCCGTAAGATTTTATATTTACAGTGCATGTCAGAGGTGCCTTCTTCCTGTAGTGCCCACTTACCTGTTGGCTGAATCTGAGGTGGCTTCTCAGGCCAAGCAGCTGTAGGCGCTTTATATTAGGATCTGAAAGATAAGAACCACATCATTCAAGCAAAAGGGGTGGGGGCAAGGAGTGAGTTTCGGGGCCTAGACAGGGCATTGCCGGTAAATGAGTCTGGCACCAGTAGAAGTCTCTTCCTGGCACACACTGGGAGTGGTCACAAGTCAGGTCCCCTTCCGGCAAATAATTTGGCAAGCTGTCTAAGTCCAAGATGGACTTTGCTTTTGCTCAGCAGAAAACAACTGAGGGTTCACATGTCCTCTAGCAGAGGGGAGCAGAGAAGAGTAGATTTCCTTCTACTACCTGTAAATTTGTAGGCTCCTCTTTAGTGTCAGGCATGGCAAAAAGTTGGGAAGGAATTAACTGATTCCAAATAATTTAAAACAATGTGCTATGGCATTAAGTGGTTCCTCCACGTCTTTTTCAGCTCACAAACTTCTCAAGATGTACCTCAAGAAATAGGTTAAATTTATATTTCTAAATATTTAACGTGTCCAGCAAGGTTTGCGCTAACAAAATATGGATATTGTCAATGTGAGAATTGTAGAGAGCTGATGCCTAAGACAACTTAAAGTAGCTCGCCATGTGAAGTCAACTGCTTGTTAGTATGAAGTCAATGATGGTGTGATGAAATTGAATACTTACCAGAATCATCATGGAATAGTTATTTATAATTCAGGGAATAAGTGCGAATCAGAATGCAAAATTAGGAAGAAAAAGCTAACCTGAATGTTCACAGAAAGAGAGATGAGTATATGAATCGGGACAAATGGATTAACAAAATATAATAAAATACTAAACAGAATTTAAATAGATTAAGGTAGATATCTATATTTCAACTTGGACTAGTAGCAAAACCATAACATTGAATACAAAATTCAGTTGCAGGAAGTTACAAGCTTTTTCATAAACTTTATGTATGGTTTTAAAAGACAGGTTAATATCAAATTTTGTTTATTAATCAATTCTCATATAGTTTAAAGAATAAAAACCTGACATATAAGAATATATATTACAATTTTTCATAGTATTTGCCTAAAAATTTCTAAGTTTTTTTTTTCTCTGTATAAAAACTAATGATGGGCCTGGTGTGATGGCTAAAGCCTGTAATATTAGCAGTTTGGAAGGCTAAGGTAAGAAGATCACTTAAGCCCAGGAATTTAAGGTCAGCCTGGGCAACATAGTGAGACCCC